GACACTCGTTTCACGAGCTCCGCTTTTGTCTTCAGACCTTTTCCCAAATCACCCAGGCACTGAAGCCACAAACATATATCTGTGTTTTCCAGCTCTTCAGGCTTTCGTCCAAGCAGAGAAGCGCCTGGAATATCATCTTCCGTAAGAAAAATCGCACTTAGAGAATCATCGCGTAAACTACTCAAGGAGGACGCCATAATTATACTGTGAAAGTTTGAGGCCTTTGTGACCTCGTTTCATGCCGTTCTCACCAGGCCTCGCGCTACGCCCGCCATTATGAAAGTCGTCTATTGGTATCCAAAGACTAGTGAGGTCAGCAATCCCCCCCCCTTACAGTTTTTTCCCATACGGACTGACCTAGACTGGTGAATAAATAATCCAATTTTTTCTCTGCTGGTCTGCCTTTTCTGCTTTGCTGTAAATTGTTCGGAAAAAGTTCCATTACGTAGTCCATATCATAAAAAAAAAATGGACCAGCTACGAGGACGTGATTAGCCAATCAGATCTGAGAATTTAAGATTCCGGCCCGCTCAGATGCTTTAGTGAAAATAAATAGTTGTTATTTCTGTTGTTCTGGCTTTTATTCTTTGCTATACCTTTAGCATTGACAATTAACATTGAAGAGAATGAGAGCAAGAGCCCCTATCCAAGTTACCTGGTGTAGACAAAGTTGGCGAGTTTCATTCCAACACCAAGACCGTTGTCATCTATCTTGCATTTGGATGATACTCCATACTTTTTAAACTCCTGCACTTTTCCATCACTTGTTGTTAAGAGAGGATGTCAGCATCCATCGAAGAAATTTGAAATATTGTGGCAAGTCGCTTAAAATTCGTTTTCACTCCTACTTTTATATTTTGTAGCCCAATATGTTTTAATAATTGTGGTGTAGTTTTTTTTGTGAAAATTTATTTTAATTTTCTAGAAATGACTTTTTTCGTTCGACTGAACTGAATCAAACAAAGAGTCACACAACTCGGGTAATATTAACGGTGAAAATTTGCACATTTGAGCGGTCGAGCGAAAAAAAATTATTTCTCGAAAACTAAATTAAATTTTTACAAAAAAAAAAATACACCACAATTATTAGAACATATTGGGCTACAAAATATGAAAGTAGGAGTGAAAGCAAACTTTGGGTGACTTGCCGCTGTTTGTTTGATGCATGCTGACATTAGCTCTTAAAGCGATCACTACAAACCAAGCCTAAAGAGGTGTACTGCAATTTTGGTTATGCTTATGCAACCGAGTATTTCGTTCGACTGAGTCGGATGTCTCACATACTTGCTCATGGAAACTAATTAAATAGTCTTGTGAATGGTAGGTTAAGTTTAACAAATCTTTTGTACTCACTCGAATACCAAAAATCTTGAAACCTTTCTTTTCCGCTGCAATTTTGCACTTCTCAAATACGTCCTGAATGCTTAGTTTCTTTCCATGGACGGTGGCGATTTTACGTCCGAGAACCATTTTCGCTTTCCTCTTGTTCTCTTTGAAACATCCTTCAGATTTCCACACGACTGCAGCAAAAGAATTTGAAAGAAGTCAATGGGCCAAAATGTTGAGTTCGAGTTTGGTGGAGAAAAAGAAACAAACATATGGATGAAAACATGTCAAGTGATAAGTCAACGCATATCAACATTGCTTTCCCACGTCGAGTGTCTTTTAGCGCATATGGCAGTACAGACTACCCACAAAAAGAGTTTATTCCTAAAGCCTAGATTAGCGAGTAAAAGAACCGGTAGCATTGCTCTAGTTCAAACTGAGCTTGCCAGATCGTCCGCAGGACCTACACAGGCAATTACCATACTTAGGAACACTGACACCATAGGCAACCGAAAAGGTTTGGACAAACAGAATTTTCATTCATTCTCTTAGAAAAAAGCAATTGAGGAGACTTTCCTTTGAAAGGGGACTAAGCTGCTGGCCGTAAGTGATTTCCCAAGACCAAAAAGATAGTTAATTCAAAGACGCATCAAACCTTCATCACAGTTTTTCCCATCCCATCCTGCAGGACATGGCTGACAACTGTAACCATCTTGAGTAATCTTACAACTGGCTCCATTCTTACAAGGAGATGACTCACATTCATCAACTGTTGCAAAAGAATGTCAACAATAATCCATGATCACAAAATAACCCATCAAATCATAGCATCACAATGAGCTGTGAAAGACTAAATAAAAGAAACTCCTCAAATAGGATTCGGAAGAGTAGCAAAACGCAAAAGAGTTTTTGCTTAGGGTCATTTTCCGTTGACAGGAAGATAGACAACAACTATTATTTACTCGAATTGGTGGAAGAAAACCGAGCCTGTTTTGGAAGGGGAACCTTTTGCGCTTTGCCATAGATCATTGGAAACATTACATTACCAAGTAAAGCATAAGCAAAAATATGAAATGGAAGTTGCACTTAAGCCCCTCTGGGACAAAAGGTGAATTCATATCCCTAACCGGAACAGTGTATCCCATAAGATCATGCCCGTGATACCAACCGCGTTCGTCGAGGATGCAGCTGGGGCTACACTGGTAGGATGGCTTATTGGTAAGACAGAATATGACTTTTGTCTCTCGTTAAAACATAATTTTTTGGAATGTTCATTTTTAAAATGTAAATTGTGTTTTTTGTCAAAATTCTTAACACTTTCGCCTTAGTGTATGCCGAGTTTTTATTCAGGGTTTCTCAGTAGCACCTCATACAAGGACTTCCCCAAAATTTCCTACCTCTAAACAGTAGCATCTACATTTTTTAGCTCCAATCACAATCAGTACATTTTATGAAAAAACTGGCTATTCTAGCCGATGATCCTACAATAAGGATTGTTTTGTATTCAAGTTTGGGATGCTTATTTCTTACCGCAGTAAGCCCATTGTCCTTTGTAAACTTTGTCAAATGAACACCACAATCTGTGATGAGCTACCTTGGTACAAGATTGGTAAGTTATTCCTCCATACTCGAAAGGAAAAACACAGCAACGGCCTTGAGGATCGTCCGTCTTTTTGCCAGGTGGACAAGGGAGCCCTGTAGAAAAATCAGAATATTTATGTTACGTTCTTTACGAAATAAATCTACACATGCACAAAAGCATTCGTTGAACATAACTGATGTACTGTCAAAAGTTTACTCACGCTTTTCGCAGGTGTCTCCTTCAAATTCATCGGTACATTTGCATGAGAATGAATCAAGACCCGTCATTGCGCATGTTCCACCATTTTTACAGGGATGTGATTTGCAGGGGCTCACTGAGGAAACGAAACATTATGATTGGCAGAGTAGTAGTCCGTTATGATTGGCAATTTAGTCGCTTCTATGTTCAAGAAATGTCTGAAATGATCATATTTATCGTGCCTGTACCTTTTTCACAAGATTCTCCATAATATCCGTCGGGACATTTACAGCTGTAAGAATCATCTCCAGTTACTGTGCAGTCTCCCCCATTTTGGCAAGGGTTGTTTGTGCACGGATTCACTAGGGGTTCATAACAAAAATTTGCGTTAAGCGGCCTCGGTTATTTATTTGTTGAGGTAGGTGGATTTGTTTTCCACACAGAAAATTACCTTTAAACATGGAGGCTTCATCTCATGAAATGAAATATGCAAAGGTATTTAAGAGCAATAGTCTGTCAGTTTCGAACTTTTTAAAAAAATCGCGGCCACTTAACCTTACCGATTTGGCTGAAATTTGGCATGAAGGCTAATTTTAGGGTCCTTACCACGAAATGGGTATTAAAAAGTTCCAGCTGTCTTTGCTTGGCAAAAAATCGATAAAGCCGACTATGTCCGCCCATACTTGTCCGCCAACATGGCGTATCGAAGGTGTTCTTATGATTTCAACTCCAGTCCTGTCGTAAAGATATCCTAAAATCTCTTGAAATAAATAAAAAGATCTACCCTTTTTTAACATTTATTGGAAAAAATGTGGGAGATGACAGATTTTGATTACGGGTTATCTCAACGTTCGAAGGTCATTTTGCGCCGCCTTGAACAGTAATAAATGTACCCCAACTTGTCAGCATGATATCTCCAATGTTATCTCGATCCAGAGGTTGCCATTTATTTGGAACAATGTTTGTTTACGGATGAATTGATTGCATTACTAAAAAAATGGGGGAAATCTAAAGGGACCAGCTCGTAAATCAGCTTACCGGTCGAAATTAAAGTCCATGTACTTATTTCGTCCAGGATGAAGCAAATTCCAGAGGTTTTCCTGATATTACGGAAGTATCTGTTGATTTTGAGCGAAAGCAAATATGTCTGGGCGACATTGTCGCAATGGGATAAATATTTGGTTACCCAATGAATGCAAACAGTCGATCCGGGAATAACACTCGGAAGGGTTGATTTCACTTACCGTTTTGAGAACGAAAAATTCTGAAAAAGAGAAGATTCTTGTGAATTCCAAACCAGCTTATTTGGTGGTGATTGGAGACTTACTAAAAATCAGAACCTGTGAGCTACATTTGTAGTTGGTCCTTGTCACGTCAACGATTCAGATATCCATCGTTAGCTATTACGTAAATTACATCACGTTTTTGAGCAGGTCTTAATTTCGTTTTTGATATGTTTCAATGTTCTTATCAGTATAAAGGAAACCGAACCTTTCAGGATATTTCCTTGCAATTTTTTTTCACCAACGGTGAGCGCTAAATGCACACATGAAGCGCCGTCATTAAGAGCACAGACATGAAAGTTGTTTGAAATAAACGTCATCTCGTTGGAATGCGCGCGCAATCGCTAATTGAGTTTGCTCTAAGATCTATTTTACTTTGAGAGGCTGTTCCTGAAGGATATTTTTTAAACCTTCTTTCGGTGGCTTTAAACGAGCTTTACACCTAATCTATATGAAAAACGAAACTATGAATTCGAATTCATAGTTTCTTGAATTCTTGTTCATCTCTGAACTGTCGTTTATGGCGAAAACGGAAGTTAAGATCCAAGACCTAAGAAACCATATTTCATTTATTTTTTGATGGCAATGAGAGAGGAACGGAAGCCGAAAAGGGACAATCCAAAAATATTTTGCAAATCCGAAAAAATATTCAGAATCGATATCTTTTAGACAAATCGCTTTTGAAAAGTTTGTTAAATCGACAAAACAAATTCAAATCCGTGACTTTCCATTCATTTACCGGGCTTTAAAACTCTAGACCTTGCAGACCTTTACTTCTTTATCCCTCTAGAAAGACTTACATTTCCGGCTCAAATTCCCCACCCCAGCCACGTAAGGTCCAAATTTCCCGTTCCTCAGGCACGGGAGACAGTTAAATACCCGTGAGTTGCCCGTGTTTCCTTTTTAAAAAAAAAAAAAGAACTTGGGTAGGGCATTTGAACAAAATTTTGGCCCCGGGGATTGGAATTTGAAGAACTAATTTTCAAGATTTCAATTTCAACGGGGAAGGGAAGTTGAAGTTTCGAATTAATCGATGCATAAGCATGAAATTTTTCACAGTACCTACTCTAGCCCTTCTCAAAGACGCGTCAAAAACGTTTAAACCCCATAAATGAGGCTTTATGTCTCGTGTACATCGTAAAAGGGATATGCACTCGCACGACTACATGGTATGTCTGAAACTATCCTCAGCAAATCTCGAGTAACTGCTTTTGACCAATATTATACTAGAGCATTCTCTTCATACAAAGAACTGGAAAATAAACTGAAGCAAAAAGGGAAGTTAATCACTGACATGATAAGTTTGACTTTGTTAAAAACGAGAACTTTTCCAATATTTTACCTCATTGAAACCAGCCTCTCAGTGTTCACTACAAAATCAAAACAAATTTCAATTTTTGTACCTGTTGTGTCCAAGAAGTATGAAGGAGAGTAAAATGATAAAAAAAAAAACAATAACCTTATCTAAACAGGATCCACAAATAAAGGAATGAATTTCCACTTTTAGACTCAAGAATAAACTTGATTGCTTGTGCACTCTCACGAGTTCAAGTTGATGTCTATCTCAAACCACATTCCGTTTTGTGTGTGTGTGGCCACTGCCAGGGCGTATTACGTTGGTATTTACGGCTTACTTTTGATATAAATAAAAGTTACTCTGACAGACTTGCCAAAGGCTGGGGTTTTTCTTATGCTGCAAATTTGAGAAAATGGTAAATTGACTCCTGTTGGAAAACATGATAAATTTGCATATCATCTACGAAACCGGTTGCGCGATCTGTAAGTACTGTATCATTAATCTTAAGTTTGCAGCGACTTAATTAAAATAAAGGACCAACAGCTATCACCAGTAGTTTATAAGAATTGATAAGAACGTTTCTTTCACAAAATCCTTTGTTCTCAAAACGGTAAGCGAATTAAACTCTGAGCGTAATTATAGTCGCAAACGCTAATCACTTGTATTCAAACTTTACTAGAACAAACTTCCGTTCATAGAAAATTTAACAACTTGACAAGACTCATTGTTGAACACGGTAACTGAAAATAACACGCGAATGAGCATAAAATAACTAACAACGTATGAGTGAAAGTACTAGAAAACGACAAAGCGAAATAAACAAGGACACTTACAAGACGAATGTGACCAAACCAAAAGACGAAAAAATGAAACTCAAAGCACGATATGTTCCGATATGTTCCGCAAACTAGACAACTAACCAAATAAATTACGCGCGAACAGAGTAACTACGATATGCAAATAAATATAACAAGTACAAAACTGGTAACTGACAGAGGACACTAATGAAGACGAGAAACTGAACACCTAACACGAAACTATGAAACAACAACAACAAAAATAATGATACAAATTCTTGCGTCTACAGTAATTGCACGTGGCTTGTTTTAATTCAACTAGTTACCTAAAATCATACCATTGCAACAATTTTGCTTGAACATCACTGACGTGTGGACGTCTTATATTCTGCAGCATACACCTTTATTGATAACTGACGGGCTCTACCAACAACTAAACTACTCGATACATCTAGAATCTAGATACAAGCTTGGCTTTTATTGGTACGGAGGATCTAGAACGTTCCGTAACATTACAATAGATTCTATTTACATCTTGATTCAGAGATGACTCAGCATGACACAGCTACTTCTAGAACGGTATCCGGACAACTCGCCTCCTGGACAATTAGCCCCAGACGACTAGCCCCCAGTCTCTGGACGATTAGCCCCC